TTCATCAATGACCTTCCTGACGCTATAGATTCCCAAGTTGGCATCTATGCAGACGACACTACAATTTACTCCTGCCTCAAAAACAAATCTAGTGTCGGCGACAAAACTAATCAGTTGTTAACTGGGGCAAGAATTGGCTGGTCAACTTTAACGCCACAAAAACTAAACTACTCTCCATTAACCACCATAGAGATCCTTCCCTGCCCCCCATTAAAATGTCTGATAGTCAACTTCCTGAGAGCAACTCCCTGCGCCTGCTCAGTCTCACGCTGACTGCTGACCTGAGATGGAACAAATACATTGAATCAATTGCTTCTTCAACCGCGAGGAAAGTTGGCTCTCTGTGCCGCGCCAGGAAATTTTTCTCCCCTGAATCGATACTTCAAATATACAAAACAACCATTCGCCCTTGCATGGAGTATTGCTGCCATATATGGGCTGGGGCACCTTCTGCTTACCTCGGAGTTCTTGACAAGATCCAGAGACGGATATGTAGTCTAATTGGCCCTGATCTAGCGTCTCGTCTGCAGTCACTTTCTCACAGACGCGCCGTCGCCTCTCTGTCTTTACTACAAACACTTCCATGGTAACTGCTCTGACGAGCTGCTTTCTCTGGTTCCCAGACTCCATGAATTCAAGCGCCCTACGAGGCTGGCATCCCACTCCTACCCTTACACTGTAGAAACTTTCAAATGTAGCCGTCTCTTCTACTCCAATAGCTTCATACCTCGCACCTATCGCCAGTGGAACACCCTCCCCAATTACTGTTTCCCTGAAAGCTATAATCTCCAACTATTCAAATGTAATGTCAATCGACATCTCCAGTTGCCTTGATCTACCCACTATCCTTCTCCTCATCCTTTCTCCTATCATTCCTATCTGCTCTCACTCCAAATCTTCTGCAACCCCCTGCATCCTAGTGGCTTCACGCCTTGCTTGGGGCATAATGCTTAAAAAAAAAAAAAAATGTATCAAAAGATACATGATCACCTAAGCATGTATCTCACATGGCATGCAATTGACTGAATTCATACCTTTGTGACACAAGAATGACTTAGTAATTTGGCAATATTAAGTATTAAGCCATACTTAATCACTTAACATTTGAAAATTTAAATGAAACATTTTCAGCAGCAAAATACTGAAAAACATATCTTATAGTGATGGAAATCTAAAATAATTTTAGTTGCCAGATTGCTAGGTGTACAAAATCTAGTTAAGTATATAAACTGTTTTATAAAAAAATAAAATTTACTCTCTTTTTGCTCTGAGTTAGAATGATGAGTTCACTTACTTCATGAGTAGGGTTGCTGACACACGTCCGAATGTGGAAAAGAGAGTTTAGTCCTCAGTGGACTGGGGAAACTATATGCACAACAGAAATATAATTACCACATGATACCACATCTTGAAGCAAGGAGAAAAAAAAGACTCAGGCAGGAAATGTTTGCCTTTTTATAGGCTTAAACAGCACCATCTAACAACATTTGAGAAAACAAAGTGGCTAATTTTTCTGGTTTTTATTACTCATTATTATTATTATTATTATTTTATTTTATTGATTTTATTTCATTTTCCACAACTCTTGTTATGTGATATTAATATCTCAAATGTTCTAGATAAATTTTATTAAATTTTTGGAGAAACAGTTGGAAATAGAATGGAAGAATTGACTGAATTTTGGACTTGATCAATTCACAATTAGTCCCTTACTAATGTAGTTGCTTTTCCACAATATCTTGAAAATTTTATAATGCTCTAAATAAAATATTCTATTTGTATGAAATTTGGTGTAAGTGTAAAAGAATAAGTCATAAAATTTTGGAATGGGTTCATCAATTTCTATAATTATCTCTCACACAAATCATTTTAGTGACATTGGTGTTGGTAGAGATATGCATTCTTTGAGTGTGTTTTAGTTCCTAAGGTGAATTTAATTTAGTGAGTAATGAGTCACAAAAGAAATAATTAAATCATTCCAGATGTAAGGGTCAAAAATATCTTTACCCTCAGGAACTGAGAATCATTGCCTCTTGCTATCATTGCTGATGAATTAATTGATTAGAATGTACAATATGTCACACATGAAATGAACAAAGTCCGACAATTATTTTAAAAAGAATGTATAAACATAAAAAATGTCTTAAAATAATTGTCCATTTCATAATGTGTGATGTCATTTGTTTACATTTGCATACACATCGAGCAGATATGAATGTATGAGAGTAAATCATGGAGAATTGTAGTTTAAAAAACAGTAAAATTGGCCTTGCTAACTGAAACTCTCCTCTGTGGCTTAATCGGTAAAAGCACATCAGGCTATATGACGGTTCCATATAGGATACAGGTTCGATTCCTGTTGGAGGACACATATTTTCTATGAAAATTTCTTGGATATTCAGGCTAGTAAATGTTGTTAATACTGTTTATTATAAACAGAGCATTTACTTAAATATTTTATCTATAAAAAGAACGTATAAACATAAAAAATGTCTTAAAATGTACAATATATATAAGGTATATTTAAGCAGTTAGTATTTTTTTAAGCTTAAACAATCCTATGCATGTGTTATTCAAAAATATAAGATTATTTATATATTTTTGTATTAAGAGGTAGTATTTGTTTTAATTTTTGTAAATTTGGCAGTCTCATTGATGATAGTTTGTCATTTTGTGTAATATTCATTTTTATCAAGTATAATGAAATTGTTTGATTTATCAGCTCCCCTGATTATCATATGTGGGTTTTCTGTAAGTTCATGTACGGCTTATTTCAATTTGTGATTGTTATTTAAAAGGGTTTTCTGGTTATTAATTGTTTTTGATGAATTCAGCTTTTAATAAATCTGTAGTGATAGAAAAATAAATAAATCATAACAAGGAGACCAAAATTTCACCATCTCTAAAAATAGATATATATTTAGAATCACCAGGCCATAAAAACATATTTCAATCAACCAAACAGAAAGCTTTCACAAATGAGATATAAGGCCATGAGCCAATGAGAATCAAAATGGCATTTTTGAAGTTGATTACTAGAGATGTATATAATGAGATGAAAAATCAACCATAACTAGAATCAATAATTTTGTCTGTTCTCTGATAATGTCCTATCACAACATAACCAAAGCTGAAATATGATATTTTGTGCAACATGTGGTGACTTTAGATGGCTAAAATATTCTACTACATTTGAAAACATATGCCCTTTCTTTCACCATCTTTTTAAAACATACCTTCATTTGGCCACATTGTTAAACAGGCAGGAACTACATTTAGATACAAACATATTTTTTTCCTCCTGGATTTTTTTTTTCTCTCTCTTTCTCACACACACACACACACACACACACACACACACACGTACCAGGACTTTTACATTTGAACTATTGAAACTTCAACTTTCATCTTGTCCTGCATTATGACAGGGTGCAATGGGTAAATTGTCACCATTTTATATTTTTAATTTCATGCATGTGCATTATTTTTGATTTTGTCAACTGGACTGTATAGCAGGATCAGTTGGGCACTGTCTATGAGAAAAAGAGAACCATGATGTAATTCACTCTTCCAGGAATTTGGAAGTGGCATACTGTACTGCTTGGCATTCACGCCAGAATCTCTAATACAAATATTTCAGAGTGTTTGAGTGAGGAGAATGTAGAGGATTCAGAAAGAGATGGATGAGTCTAATGGTGATTACGAAGACACAGCAGCTTTGAAAACTCACTCTAATCATTCATGAACTCACAAATTTGTTGGTGAGAGCTGCAGACTTAACACAGAGGCCTACTTCAAGTGCTTTGAGAAGGTAGTGCTACCCTAGGTCAAGAGGGTGGCTGCTGAAAAACCCTATGTCTGGCAACAGGACTCTGCATCATGCCACACAAGCAGGTGAACCCAGTCATAGCTGTCAGACAATTGCTGCAAGTACATCACCCCTTACATCTAGCCACCTAATTCTCCACTATGTGTTACTATGTGTAACACCAAAAATGAACTGAAGTATGGCAGTATTCACCAACTTAAAGAAAGAGATCATCCAGAACATTTTAAGGAGATTCCAAATTTGTTTAGAGGCTGTGGTTGAAACCAATGGTAATTTTATTGAATGAATTTACTCTTTAATATTTCAAGATATTTTTGTTTAATTTTGGTAAATATATCTGTTAAAATGAGATCTATCACACCCTGTATATTGTTATATAAAAATTTAATTTTGTATTTTTCAACACTCTATACATTTTCTCTTAATCAATACACAATGCCAATATACATCCAAACCAAATATAGCAATAGATGGTGTAAACAGATGTTGTCATTAGATAACCTTCCAAAGCTCATTCATAGATCTTGTAATCCAAGAAGTATTGTAATAATGTTGTCATCTTTCAAATTTAAAATACCCTGCTATAAAATTTCAATTTCTATTTTCTTGATATTATATTTGTCCTGTGGATTCAAGATTTAAAAAGGACTCCTGGTAATTGGCAAGTTGGGTGTTAGATAAGTTGAGAAATTTATTCTTGCTGTTGGGTAAGTGAATACTTCCTTGAAGTTTTTAAGCTTCTTGAGGATATTATGTTTGTCTTTTATCTTCATTCTGTGTGAAAATGTTGAGTTGCTTTGTGATGTCAGAGTATTAGTCACTGGTTCTTAAGAACTTTAGGTCTTCTCCAATTTTGCTGATTTCAATGGAAAGATGTGGAATCTCATTATTACAAGAAAAATCTTTTAAAAATGTTTTTTTTTTGTTTTTTTTTCTAGACCCAAATTACAAATTTTATTGTAACCTAATTATGTACAATAATGGATCATGTACTTAATTTAATTTGTAATGTACATAAATATAGGTAGAAAATCAGGCTTAGGTCAGGATGTTTGAGAGTAGTATACACCAGCTCTACTATGTGCAAATGCGTTTCTGATAAAATAAATAAATGGCAATGCTTATGTCACTATTAAATTGTCCTTATTTTTATTTATTTTTATTTTTACAGTGGAATTATCTCCAGTCTGAAAAGGGAAGAATTGTTGTCTACATGACAAGTATGAGGATTGTAAGAAGAACTCATGAACGTTGTAGAACTGTACAAAAAATCCTACAAGCCCATTTGGTTAGATATGAAGAGAAAGACCTTTTTATGAGCAAAGATAACCAAAAGGAACTCATGGAAAGACTTGGACAAAAAGATATCATAATACCCCAGATATTTGCAGATGGATTAAATATTGGAGTAAGTACACATAATTTTTTAAATTATTTAATTACTTCTTTATTTCTTATAATTATTTTGCATTGTTACAGTTATAATTTTGTCAATCTTAACCAGGAGCTAAGTTTCAGCAAAACCTATAATTTATGATTTTTAACTTTCAAACTATTACAATATATTTTACTTTAAGGCTGCATTCTAAATAATTTTACTGTAGAAATTAACTGGCAAATAATTATTAATGTATTAAAAATTATTTTACTACAGAAATACATTGTCAGTTTTGCTTACTATAGAAATGTTTTGCAAAATTTTCTTACTACAGAAATTCATTGCTAATAATTTTACAAGTAGAAATATATAGAAGATTGTTCTGTTATAACTTCTATAGTTTTAATGATTTTTACTACATAGAATAATTGCAAATTATTTTAAAAATTAAACAGCATTATCATTGATTTTATTATAGAAATGTATTAGAGATGAATATATTATAAAGATACTAAGAGAAGCTATTTCAAACTGAAATGCAATAATCACTTTATATAACTATACACCAAAAATTATATAGTGTATCTAATATATACTTCAAATAATTTTTAGTTTAAATTCATTCTTGCCAAATCCATTTATGAAAATTTGTACTGATTATTTGAATCCTTTGGAAATTCTAAATGAGAAAAAAATGTTATAGTCTTATTTGAAAAAGAAAAATGAAAATGAATCATTAATTAAAGCAGTACAAAACCCATTCATTAGGATAAATTATATAAAAATATAAAAAAAATATATTTGTATGACTAAGTAAATGAAAGAATTATATATAATCTTAATGGAAAACAAAAATTGTCCAAGATCATAAATATGGATATCATTTGGTAGGAATAGATATACATTGGGGTAATACATTCCACTGTTTATAGCAGTGCTTGGAAAGAAAATGTGTAGAGTGTGGTTGCCTCACCACACCACAGAGGTTCCATCAGTGACCATGGTTTGTGCAGCAGTTTTTGGTTAAGAACAACATTCCCTGGGTCCAGCAACCACTATATTCCCAAGATCTTGTCTGTGCGACATTGTCTTCTTTCCAAAAATAAATTTGAAAGAAATAAAATTTGAAGGAAATCTAAGAGAATGCAGAGCTGTAGCTGCTCACTATCTCAAAAAAAGAGTTCTGGGAATGCTTCTATCAATGGAAATGGTGCTGGATAAAGTATATCACTTCAGAAGGGAACTACTTTGAATAAGGCTAAATGCTGAATTAATATGTTTATTTTTTATAGTACCAGTCCTGATACTTTTTGATCAGACTTCACATACATATAATTTGAATATAACTCTGCAAATAAAGATTTAGTGTAAAATTAAAATCTGCCTTTGAAAAGGAGAATTATTAGTTTTTGAATATCAATACATAGAAAGAGATGATCTTAAAATTTGAATGTTAGATATTTTTTACTAATGAAAGAATCTGTAGAATAAGTAAGATAAAATGGTGGATAAAAATATTTAAACAATATCTAATATAGATTTTGAAAATGTTCAAGTGAAATTTGTTCCTGTAATCTTCACAGAATTGTCAAGAATTAAGATATCACTATTATAATTCCTTCTTATTCTTTGTGTTGTGTCCTTTTAGGATGTTGGCAATCATGGCTCCCCACAATTTCCTGTCCTTTGTAGCTCTTAGTAAATTTTGTCTTTTTGCTATCTCTCCTAAACCTTGTTCTACTAACAAACTTGTTAAGTAAATCATGCACTGCTTTCCTCTTCTATCTGTCCTGTGAGTGTTAAATTTTCCAACTCCAATTTCATCATTATGTTGCCCAGAAATTTCACCTGTCTCTTTCTGATGTTAAGTATAAGTGTCCTTTTTGCTTCTATTTTCTCCTAAACTTTGTTGTTGCTAACATGATCAGTTCATGGCATTCCCGCCATCCTTCTGTAGAACCATATTCCTGTTGCTTCAAATAGCAATTACAATAAATAAACAATCCAAGAAAGAGAAAAATATCCATTATTACACAATAAATAAAATGGCATTTGACCTCAAATAATGACTTTAGAAAAAGGTTTTATATCAGGTGACAATAAAATAATTATATATATATATAATGCCCACATTCTCTCCATAGTGATTTCATTCATTCCTGACTACTGAACTGACAATTCCTTTCTTTCTCACTTTCAGTATACTTCAGTAATAAAATCATTAGCAATGTATTTATATTATGCATATAATAGTTCTATTCTATATAACATTTGCATTCATTCTAGACCACTGGCAATTCCTTTCTTCTTGATTTTCGATGCATTTCCATAGCAAAATCATTAACACAGCAATTATATTTTACATATAATAACCCTATTCTATCAATAACACATACAATATAATTTCTGACAACTGACAATCCATTTTTACTGTTTTTCAATACATTTGTATAATAAAATCATTAGAATTACATAGACATTATATACATAATAGTCTTATTGCACCTGTAATGATTTGATTGATACCTGACCACTGAGAAACCATTTCTTTCTGATACAGTTCTATCACAAAATCATAGTAAATGTAAAAATATTTTTTAAACAATATCTGACTAACAAACAAGTCTTTTGATTTGGTTAATATTTCAATATTTTGTCATCCTCATAACATTATCTAAATCATCCTTGTAGCTAATCAATATTTGATTAATGATCAAGTCTCCTTGATTTGGTTAATATTTCAATGTTTATTGCCATCATCCTCATAACATTATCTACATCTAGAAAGGATGAAAGCAACTTTAAAAAACATCCTTGTAGCTAATCAATATTTGATTAACAATCAAGTCTCCTTGATTTGGTTAATATTTCCATGTTTATTGCCATCATCCTTATTTATCTACATCTAGAAAGGATGAAAGCAACTATGAAAAATATCCTTGTAGCTAATCAATATTTGATTAACAATCAAGTCTTTGATTTGGTTAATATTTCCATGTTTATTGCCATCATCCTCATAACATTATCTACATCTAGAAAGGATGAAAGCAACTATGAAAAACATCCTTGTAGCTAATCAATATTTGATTAACAATCAAGTCTCCTTGATTTTGGTTAATATTTCCATGTTTATGCCATCATCCTCATAACATTATCTACATCCAGAAAGGATGAAAGCAACTATGAAAAACATCCTTGTAGCTAATCAATATTTGATTAACAATCAAGTCTCTTTGATTTGGTTAATATTTCCATATTGCCATCATCCTTATAACATTATCTACATCTAGAAAAGATGAAAGCAACTATGAAAAACATCCTTGTAGTAATCAATATTTGATTAACAATCAAGTCTCCTTGATTTGGTTAATATTTCATGTTTATTGCCATCAACTATATACATTATCTACATCTAGAAAGGATGAAAGCAACTATGAAAAACATCCTTGTAGCTAATCAATATTTGATTAACAATCAAGTCTTCTTGATTTGGTTAATATTTCCATGTTTATTGCCATCATCCTTATAATATTATCTACATCTAGAAAGGATGAAAGCAACTATGAAAAACATCCTTGTATCTAATCAATATTTGATTAACAAATTTGAGTTGGTTAATATTTCCATGTTTATTGCCATCATCATCATGACATTATCTACCTCTAGAAAGGATGAAAGTTAAGTCTTTTTGTTCATTTGAATTTGTTTTGTGCATCTTGTTTTGGTATTTCCTTAATTTTTTCCCTCTCTCTGAAGAAGGAATTTAGTGTTTGTTTTTAATATGTGGATTTATTTGTTTTTTTACCACCAAACCTTTTTTGTCTGTTCTTGTTTGTATTTTTATTTTTTCTCCTCTTTATAGAAATATTGCTTAATTTTGTATCTTGAAATTTTTAATTTTTGTTTTCTTTTCTGTTTTATTTAAAAAGAAAAAAAAAATCCCCTTTTCCTTTAAAAAGAAAAATATATAAAAGAAAATTTTGTTTATTAATTTTAAAAAAATGGCTGACAAAAGTAGGTTAGTCCAAAATCTTTTTGGGTGTAAAAAAAAGAAAGATCCTCTCAATAAACAAAAAACTGAAAACAACAGATAATCAACAAAATTAGAAGATAATGTTAAAGAATTAGAAAAAGTATGATAGCTGAAACAGGCCAAAATTCAGAGGAAGCCAGAGAAATGCCCTCATGCTGGTAGTCCCCACCGAAGTGTATTATCAACATTGCAGAGTTCCTCAAGAAAACCAAAAGTTACACACATCTTGTCACAAAAGATGGGCTCTTGGTCGATCCTTTGGAGTTACTGAAAGTTGAAAAAAGAATTGTATCAATCTTTGTGGTTAACAAGCATTCATGCAAAATTTGTCACTCCACAAAAGATACCATTATCAAATCCTTAATGTCCTGGGGGTAAAATCTCAAAGAATTATTAATGGAAAATGATATTTCATGTGGGACATACTGTTGCCTATGACTGCCAACTATGTGAGGATGCAACCAGTTGTGATTTAATCACTAACCTCATTTTAAGAATGGAATATGAAGACAGCCTAGGATCATTGTGCCAGTATATGCAGTCCTTCCTTAGATCATAGGGGGCACTTGGCTTTTTATCTGGCTCAATTTGGGCAGATATTCAGTGCTTCCTCCGACAACCTGAACGGGGGATGAAGTTTCAAAATAATGACAGATCGTCTATCTCCAAAGGGCCAGAAAATGCTGGTCATCATGACCAGATGTAGACTAACATGCTGGAAGGCCTCTGAAGTTCTGGTCCCTACTGACTTAAAACCCCCTTTGGGCGAGTCTGTTCTTTCCATCTCGCCTGTAATGGACATGCCAATGACCAAGATATGTGATAAAACCCTCAGTTGAGTCCATCTCATGGACCATATTCCCTGAAGAGCCTTTGCCTGCCATTTGTGCAGTTGTGGAGGAGGAAAAGGGGGAATGGCAGATTGTTGGCAGGGCCAAAGGGAAGCTCTAAGCAGCATGATCTATGGGTAAAGACATATACAATCCCACTTCCTCTA